ATTAATTCACTAATATTTTTTCTTCATATTTACCTATCACTGAACCTTATCGCAAAACTATTTAGAACACGCCAGTATTATAATGATCCCGTTAATTAGACCAGTGGACTCGTTAACGAATTTCGTTTGCAATTAGCATACCGCGATAATCAGGATTCAGTCTGGGAAATTGGATTAAAGGTGGCGCGGGAAAATAGCCTGTGAGGTGACTGAGATGAGGTAGGGGGATTGGTCCACTCGCGTGGGCGGACACGACCGAAAATTGGATTTTAATTTTAATATGAAACGCAAGTAGGGAAAAGGTTCAGCCTGGCAATTTCACGTAATGCTCGTAGCACTGGTGATTGTGGCATTATTTCAACTGCATATTACAGGATAAAAATTTTCAGGTAAAAAGGGGTTAAAAAGGTAATTAATGCTGATTAATAATTTGTTTCGTTAATTTGAAGGGGAATGGGTTTGTAATAGGCGATTGTCGGGGATTATGTCATCGTGTTTTGCGGAAAATTGTTGGGGTTGGTGATTAAACACGGGCTTGGTACAATTTTTATTTTATGCAGAGCAATAGTGGACGTGCTCTTGAACAATTAACACTTTCCGCAGGGTTATCGTTGGAGAAGACTTCGTTCTCCGTTATGTCAATTTTGAGTAACCTAGAACCACTAAATGCGTCTCTCGGGTATCCTGTCTCCAATACCAGTTTCAACGCCTACCCATTCGTCCTTAACCGCAACCCTCTATGTACCTTATGTACCTATGTACCTTACATAATATGCGATGTATTCTCTTCAAAATGCACCGGTTGTGATGACGTAGGTATCGATCGTGAGCCATCACTCACGTTTGGATATTTCAGGTATTTTTCGCATTTAGGGCAATCTATGATACATATTGCTTGTAAAAATAATTCGGAGACTTGTCTGGGGTGTAGTTCTATCTTGAAAATTCGCGTCTCTTATCTTGGAGTAATCCGATATTGCCAATGGCTCAGAATACTCGCGGAATACTCGCGGAATACTCGTCGGTTAATAATCGCGATTTTCGGAGCTGTATTTTTCTGGGGGTGTATGCAGGGGGCACACTTTGCACTGGTTATTGAAAATATTTTCCATGATCAATGAGTGGATTAACAATATCACAATCAGTAACACCCAACAGGAACAATCCATGGCGACGCACACGTACTTATGATTAATGCAGTTAATGGAAAAATTCATTCTGTCCATAAGTGTAATGCCGGAAATTTATTCGATATAATTTTTTACTAGATATGGCGATCTAATTAATCGATACTTGTCTTCTAAATTGAATTAAATTTCACTTTATGAAAAGCTTTTGCTAAATTATAAATAATAACGAAATTGATTTCCCGAAAAAATTGAAAAATCTTTTTAAATTGAACATTGACACGATTACCAGTAAATACGTCTGGCAATTATTTTAGAATATTTTTTTTCAATTAGTGATAACAGTAAAAGTTATAATAACATTATTTCTCATGGGCATTGTAAAGTTTTCAGGCAGAAGTAATTTTTCCTATTTCTATGATTGATTAGATAACAACTGGGAGTCTCACTTCCCTCTGGACTCATCACTTGTTTGTAATTAACGCATGCAAACTCGTACACAAGTTGAGTAGGATGTGGGGATTGCGAATGTTGTCGTTTAACAACGCATGAATTTTTCGATCATCTCGATATATCGCAACGCATCAGTCGACTGGCCAACCGATGCCGTCTCGATAATTCCAGGGGAGAAGAAAGAGGAATGTATGGATTTTGAGCAGTAAAAACTGGTTGTTTATAATTGTTTCTCCATACCGGGAATTTTTAATTTGAAATGAGAAAGTCAAAGTTATCTGAATTTTTTTTTTCAGAGTAAAGGCAGACGGTAGTCTCGTTGGTCATAAACGTGGGTAAAAAGACCAGCAGTATTCGGTACAATTATAAATTTCAAATGAATGTAATAAGCAATTACGAAAAAAATATATATTCAAATTGAACCCAGCCAGGAAGATAGTTCATGGATATGCCTGTCGCTGACAGAGATAATTGGGTCACGTTTGTTAATCTTAATGAATCAAATCAGTACGTGAAAAAAGTACAAGCGGACTAACTCCCATTAAAGAGGACCGTATGGTAGTGTTATTTGTTATTTTGATGAGTTTCTCAGGGAAAATGATGATTATTGAATGAAAAAAAGTCAATGCAGCAAAAAGCAAATTAAAAATGAGGGAAAATAAAATCATTAAGCCGTAATTTGATTCAATCAATCTCGGGGATTATTCACAGTGACTGAGGGGGAGAAAATGGATGACGCCAGTAACCAAAAGGAAAATAGATAGCCCATGGGAAACCAGTGAATGAAGACCAGGGGATACGATTAACGGTGAAATGATAGAGTAATCGTGAAGAATAATATTGACAAAAACATGGAAATGAGGATCGAAAGGCGTTCCCTTTATAGATAAAATGTATGTATTATTTTACCAAAGCCTGAGTGGTCTGTTCTGATCGGATAGAGTGGGATAAGGTGAGATTGTACGATTATTGGTGCGCCAAAAGACACCAAAAAGACGGAGAAAGAAAGGCTTGCAGCTGGAAAAGTGCCCCAACGAATTTTCTCAGCAACGGGTATCAGATCGTTGATAGAGGAGTGACGGTGACTCTCTATCCACGTATACCCGGAGCCAATGCGAGCTTCAATGGTCGAGCAATTGGCCAGTTCGCTCTACCAAGTGAAGCCGCTTCGTTCACTTTCTTTATATTTCCCTGACCCAACTCTTCTCAACTTGTTACCTCAAGCCTCTCTTTCCTCCCTCCTCTTTCGCGCAATCCTCTTGTGCGAGATGTGCGTTTTACGGTGAGAAAAAAAAAAAAAGATAAAAATAAAAACAGTGAAATTGGAATTGGAAACCCAGATTTAACGTTTATATTCTTTTCACTCTCTTACCTGGCGTACAGCACCCTGAATGAACTTTGCGACATGCAGTTCACACTCCAATCAGTATTCCCATGTTCATTGCATATCGTTATCGAGTACCTCCCGTAGTTAGCTCTTATCAGGTGTATCAGTTCACCCTCACCACACTCAATCTTGAGCGTTTTGCCCTCGCACTCGTAGGCTGTGTCGTAACGCTCTGTAAAAATAAAACAATTCAAGTTGAGAATTCAACAGATTATTCCCCAGACTATGCAAATTGTGGGAAAATTCCCAAGAATTTGCCACTAATGTGGCAATAATAGATTTATGTGCAATCACCGGTGAATAAACATTGGGATCTTTGGGGTGATTGTGTACATATATATAACAGTGGTTTTAAGCCTCGATACCTCCTGCTGTCGCACAGGGCGGCCAACATGAAAGGATACTGGCGAGCAGCGGGATGTCGTCAGCTTGAATGTTACCTTCCTTCTCGAACACACCAAACTCGATATATATACGTATTTATACATCTGTCTCGCTTTATGGATTTCTTTTTTCCCCATTTTTATCCGTGAGTTTGATGTTGAGAAACACAGCGGGACTATTGTTGATTGAGAACAATATTTCACTCTTCTTGGCCCCGAGGTAGTTTAATGTTGACCCAGTATTTCGCTGACGTGTTACTCCAACGACTTTAGTAGGGTACAGCCAAATAATTTTCGTTAGACCTAATTAATCACCGGGGATTTGTATCATGTATCGCGTTATGGATTCGTGCGGTCTGGAAATTGAATTGTGGAGAGAGTGATATTGAGAAACTGGTAAATGAATATGTAATGAGCCAGAATGGAAGGCAATTGCTGTGTAGGTGATTCGTAATGGAGAAGGAATGCAATTTTCTCGGAATAACTGAGAGTTTCTTGAAATCCATCGGAGTCACTAAGAAATTGGCAAAATAATTCGGCTGTTTAAAAAATAAGTCTTGTGGTTCAAGTGAGGAGTATCTGTAACTACCAGTCAATATTTCATCCTTCGGAACAAACGAGATAACGGCGGACACGCCTGCCCTTCTAACACCAGCAATACCAACATCACCACTACTTGAAAACCTCTTGCGGTATCCACTATTCCCATGGGCTTTCACCTTTCTCGGTGCTCACACCCGCTTCTCATTTTCTCAACGTTGCCCTCTTCTCTGCAGAGGGGGGCCTGGCCCCCCCTGTCTACAACAGAGCTTTATGCCCTTGTAAATAACATTTATATTACCAACTGGCCACACGCGTGTCTCCAAAGCCCCAGGAAAAGGTAGAAATAATATTGCTTGTGATAAGAAGCCTCTCAATTTCTCCAACGCTTATTCTTCCAGCATTTTTCGCTTCTTATTTTCCTTATTTCCCTTATTTCCCTTATTTCATGCGTTCGTGATGCACCAAAGAGCATTTCAGATATGTTCATTGTTTCGGTTGGTAAAAGATAAAATAAATCTCGAGCGTCTTACCTTTCTTTAGCCGCGTGTAAATTATGCACGCATGTTACGTACAAAAGAGACTCCTCGATACATACTTGGGTTATTTCTTGGGTCCGGGCCCCATCAGCCCAGGGCTTTCTTCTCCTTTCTTCGCGACGGAAAGAGGTGGGGGATACCTACGGAGAGGACGCGCAATCCTCTCTCGATCCGAAGGACCCCCCTTATCTGATTTCCCGCGACGCGCACAAAACCCAATCGCATTGCGCACAATCTCGGGTCATATTTTCCGTGGCGATTCTTTAGTTATTTCTTTTGGGTGATGGGGCTTTTTTTTTTTTGCTTTATTCGTTCATTCGGCATGTTTCCATTCGTTTTGTTCGAGGGACGCGCGAAGAACACGTGCGAAAATATGTCGGGGGATTTTTTTCTCTCGATCTCCCGGTCTGTTGGAACGCGCGCTGACGTAATGCAGGAAGTTGAATGCCATGTGGTGAGTTTCAGGGGCCCGGGGGAGATTTATATCACTTTGGAAAGTGTCAATGACTTTTTGAAATTTCCTATTGAGCTTCTGTCGGATGAATGAAAAGTATTGAAATTGTTTTACAGATTTGTTGGGAAATAACTTGGACAGACAGATGCTCGATGAATTCACTGATAGATGAATTTAATTGCGTAGAAGGAAAAATACAGATCGAGATAACGAAAATTGGTGTTTCTGTTCGGAATGTCAGTGTTTTTGTTATGATTCTTCAATAATTAAAATCGGGACAATCATCGTGACGACGGAAAAAATTGTATTTCCATGTCAAAGGGAACGGGAGTGGCCGCAGTTATCGTGCAAAATTTACCAGTGAATATTGACACAAAGATCAATAGGCCAACGGAAATAGCTCTTTTGCATCGGAACTCAAACAGTTTACAATACTCCATGCTCAATGAATATTTTCCAGGGTATTCTGAGGGTAAAAATGAATTAAAAATTCAGTTTCACGAGTACCATTCCCCCAAAAAAAAAATTTGACCCCTCCGAGCGCAATTAATGTTAGCAAATCGAGTAATTAATTTTCGTTTTCACATTGATAACCCCTCGATGGCATTGCACATAAAGCACATCACTCAACTCATAAAACTGGATCTTCATTGCAATAGTAGCTTCTATATCGACTGTGACAGTATTTCAACGTCACTAATTTTGTGTAACACGTCACTGCTCGATTTTAGTCTACTAAAGTGTCAAAAATTCCAGCAGTAATTTTCTACTAATCCAGCTGAATCCTCACCGCTCCATCAACACGAGATTACAGGAGGAGCCTAAGCCAGAGAATTACCCCAATAAATCCCCAAAATATTCTCTAAAATTCAGCAGAATTAAAAAATCTCATAACAATAACATAAATTACCCCATTCAACACCGAAGAATTCACTCTCCCTTTATCCTCCATCCAATTTTTTCCTTTTCAATTAGTGACTCACAGCGGCCATTATAGTGAATACCTTCGTTTTTTTCTCTCATCCACGGCATACCTCAGCCCGCATTAAACGACTGAGAGAAATGACGATATAACCCTGACTCCAGGCGGTCGTGTAAGTTTTTGGCATATCAGTAAAAAATAAAAAATAAAAGAGACAAGAAGAAAGCATACAAGAGAAACAGATGAAAAAAAAAACATTGTAGTGCACTTTAAGAGGCTCGGATAACCGTTCGTTTCAGCTGACCGTTATATTACCAAGGGTTATAGATATTATTTGTGGCTCTTACCGGTTGCATAGCCCAGCCACCCCCCTACCCTTTCTTTCTCTCCTTGTCTTTCCTTCACAACCTTCAGGCAGACCTCTCTTTCCGTTTATCGAGACGAGAGTGGTCGTCGGTTTGGACGGGACATCCGTAACTAATGACCCTGATAGCCGGGACTCTTTCTGCTCGTCTCGCTTCGTTCCTCAAAATTTTTTTTTTCTCTCATTCCATCTCTTCATTTCTCATCTCTCTCTCATTTCATACGTTTCTTTCTAACCTCCTCTCGACCAAGTGCATCCGAGAAGGAACGGCCAAGAGGGAACGGGGAAACGACAGACCCACCTCATCTCCAGCGGCCACGAATCTCCAACGAACCTCGACGCTACTTAATTAATTTCTCCTTCGATACGATACCAATCGTCCGGAGCCCATTTTCCCTCCTTAACCTCAATAAAACGAAGGGCATCCCCTTCACCACCTCAACCGGAAACTCACTTGGGCAGCAAAATGATAAATCATTGAGTGCGGAAATTTCGAGCGATAAAAAGTTTAGCAGATAAGTATAATGGCTCACAGCATCAAACACTCGAATTTCCCATAGCAGCCCTTATCGCTGATATTCTCGGGTTATCATCTTCTCGCCGAGAGTTAATGTTTACCTGTTAATGCACTGATTCGAGACTCCTCGGTTTGTCGCCAATTCACAGTATAAGCTGTTCGAAATGCTGTGAAAATTCGTGTCTAGAGCGAGGTATAATAATTGAAGATACTATCCGCCTGAGAATATCACCATCAAACCCAACACCATGTGCACATTGTCAATTTAGTGAGACTTTCCGCTTTAACTGAGGATTAATAGTTAGCATTTCCTCAGAATGAGATGGAAGAAAGTTAATAACAGTATGAGTGCATCTAACCGTGCCATTTGGCGAATTATTTTCAATTGTGATTTCAATTTTTTGTTTTTATAATGACGCTGTTTTTGCAGCACCAGCTTTTACGTGATTTGGCTGGGATTTCAGCATTGATCCAAGATGTCAAGTGGTGGCATTGATTATACACGAATGCGTCAAGCGAGGGGGCCGCCTTGTGATTTGCATAGAGCGATTAGGTGGCCAGTCTGGCATTAGTACCAGGCGTTATACAGACTGGTGCATAGGTACAAGAGGAGTCGTTTAGACCGAGTCAACGATAACCATGTGTTTAGGTAGTGGTACTGCTTTCTGTCTTTTCCATTACCTCACATTGGCACAACTACATGCACAGAGCATGAGAGGGGAGATATGTTGATGGTTGCCACGAGACGACTCGGTTTCTCATTTCCTTCAGTAGGCAAAGTTGAGTGTATATACTTTACCCAGTACCTGCGGGGCACATGTGACCACCTAATTGGTGATGAGCCTCTTCTTTCCCATCTAATGCCGGACTCGTTTGCCTTGATCGTCGCTGCACGCACTACCACCAGGTAGATTTCACGTTTTTCTTCGTAAAAATTGCCTCTATGACGTTCGGGGTTATTTATTGGAGACTTTCATGATGAATTTATGTCAATGCTCATGCGCCTCATTACTAATTATTGGAAGAAAAACAGCCGAGTGCGAGGGGCAAATTTCCACCTCGGAGAGAATAACTTGATTTGTTGTTGATATTAATGGTTGCAGGGAATATTCCGTTAGAGTGAGCTAAATTGTGGTTCAAATATTTGGTAGAGGTTTTTTTTATATGGTTTTAGTGAATTTCGTTCTGCTGTACAGCTTCAATATTTATTATTAGTCATTTGGAACTTTTGATTGCATTTCAGGCGCAGATTACCGTGGATTTTAATTAGAAATTATATCGGAAATATCAGCGATTGGTGACGTCCATGAAAATATCGTTTTACGTTGAATTGAAAAATCAACATGAAAAATTGACACATTTTGGCTCAGGCAACGCAACGATAAATGACGGATAATTTCCGCCCATTTTTTATGGTAGCGGTAAATATTTGCGATTCTATTGAAAATAAAAG